AAAAAAAAAAAAAAAAAAAGTCCAAAAAAAACTATGTTATGCAGAAAAATAAACTGAACAACTTTTGCCTCAGGGTCACATCGAAATTCTTTGCCAAATTTTAAATACAAAATGAATTTAATTTATTTTTATTTTATTCTTGGCCCAGCCGGGCAAGTGGCCCCGGGCCACTCTGATAGCCTAGCTTTTTTTCCTTTTTTTCTTTTTTTTTCGTTTTTTTTCTTTTTTTTCTTTTTTTTCCTTTTTTTCTGTTTTTTTTTTCCAATTGTGTGCACCCAGTCTGAATGTTTGGGCCGATTACAAACGGGAAGAGAGCGAGGAGGGGGGACGAACCACCCCACATACCGAAGGTACCGTCGTCAATAGTTGTTTGATCGGGGCCCGGAGTCACCAAAGGCATGAACCTGGCCTGCATTGCCACGCAGATCCATGCGTAGTCCTTAGACTCCGCACAGGAGAATAGCATGCATACTACCGTTTTGCCCCCGAACAGGACGCCCCGTCATCATGACGGTATCGGACCGGAAAATGGCTTGTATACATTCATAATCAGGGTGCGCTATCTTCGGGGCAAGAAGGCAGCTATGGCCGCTATGGATCTTTTTCTCACACGGCCGTCCATGGCATCGAATCCACTCCCCCACTTCTTCTCCTCCTCCTCCTCCTCCTCCTCCTCCTCCTCCTCCTCCTCCTCTTCTTCTTTTCCGCAAGAAGAACTTAGAGGCAGCGGACTATTGGTCGGAATTGCTGACCAGATTCATCGTACGGTCATCAGCATAGAATATCATGCTCCTTTTTTTTTCCCCTCCTTACTTTCCATCTGGGTTCGATTTTTATTTTTGATTTATCCCAAAATTTGGAGGCAGAGGGGGGAGGGGGGGGGGGGGTGTTTCCACTTAAGAAGGTGATAAAGACCAACGGGCCTAGCTCAGGAGGCACACCCCTCAACTGTTGAAATACAGACCCGTAGTTAGAATCTAGATACTGATCAGATGAAAAAGATAAAATCGTTCTGAATTGCCTGGGGCCAGTCAGTTCAATGATGATATCTAAAGGCCGTCGCCCTTCTTAAAAAAAAAAAAGAAAAAGAAAAGGTGATAACACGGATAAGAGATCTAAAGGCCGTCGCCCTTCTCAAAATTTGGGTTTTTTTTTCTGTGTAACGACGACAGATGTGGCCCCGCAACTGTCATAGCAAGTGCAAATCAAAAAAAAAAAAAAAAAAAAGATTGACGCACAAAGTGAGAAGAACAGCCAAAATGCAAGGAAGCTGAAAAAGTAAAGCTTGTAATTCCATGTATATACATATATATACACACAAAAAACACAGAGAGAGAGAGAGAGAGAAATCTGCCCGGCGACTCGTAGGCAGAAAGGGAGAAAAGGACAAGAAACGGGGCGCTGTGACAGACTGCTTCGTCGGTAGTTTCACTGACTCATCAGGAGGCTGAACAGTGAATA